TTAAGTGCCAAAAGCTGAAAAGTCAAAGTTCACCCTAATACTTTCTCCATCTGCAAATTAAAATTTTTCCATTACTCCACCCTCTCTTTGTTTTTCCTAAAGCAGGGGAAACACATTCTCTGAATTAGCTTGTTATTTTTAATCGCATATTTTTTAGTCCTTTTTGGCTAATTCATAATCACTGCTAAAAGTATATTTCGATATGTATTTTTCATATAAAATATGTGGAAAACATTAGTATTAAGATACCATAAAACAGAAGGGGTTATTAAACCTGCATATAAAATAAGAAAGTAGCAAGTATTATCAATTGAAAAAAGTGATTTCAAACTACAAATATTTTATTTTTAAAATATTTTGAAAAAACACTCCGCTAAAAATTCTCAATAATTTCTGGAAACACTGTAAATGAAATAAAATTGGAAATAAAATTACATAATAAATAATGTAGAGTTATGAAAACTAAATACAGCTCAGCGAACTTTTTAGGCTCACATGATTTTACACAGAAATTAAGGTCACATTCTTTTAATAAAACTAAAAAAAAACCTAATCTAACTTAAGTACGACAAAATAATCTAAAGATGTGTTTGATATCTCATGCAAAGGATACGTCCATTTTAAATTTTTCAAAGTCGGTGTTTGAAATGGGAGCTACGGCAATAAATGATACGATGTAACAATTATGATGATTCTACCATAGGTATTTACAAATTGAATTAATTCCCTAATACTATTAATTTTGGTTGACTGGTTTAAAAACGGTAAATTTTTATTATTGAAAGGAAACGTCCGTTACCTTTTTCCACATGGATAGCAGTCAAAATAGACTAGAAATACTGTGATATCATCTTGCACTATGGAGTCATGTGAAAGAACAGAAAATACAATAAAGGTTCTGTGTCAAGTCAAGGGAAAAACAGTCACCCATAATCAATAGAAAATCTTCAAGAATTTAGCATTGAAGGAATGGTGATTTGGTGTTTGTTAAATGAAACTCGATGTGCCAAATTAAGTAAAATAAAAAGTAACATGAAAGAGTAAATTGAAGAACTATATGTTTCTGCAAAAAGCTATTGCTATTTCAATAGAAAGGATACAAAGCGCTTCATGAAAAATATGCCTACGTGGAAGCTTAAGTCTGTGTGAGTTACACACCAATAATTCACACTAAACTTAAAAACATTCATTACATTTACATTTTACATGTTCAAAAGCACCAAAAATATACTCAATGTTTGAATTATTCGCTGCCCTATATCGTAACATTTTTATTAACGTCTCTGTAGCCCATTGTGACGTCACTTCAGCGCGAATTTCTCCGTGCATATTTCTACGCATGAGTACATGTATACACGAAAATGGCATTCAAGTCAATTTCACAGTTGGTTTAGTAGAAAAACATAGCAAATGTAAATATCCAAGTCTAACAGAATATTATTTTTGAATATGTTTCTAATACGTGAAATAAAAATTATAATAAGATGAAAAATCACTTTTAAGATATGTTTTATTGTCTCGTTACACAATATAATCTGTAACAAGGTGACTTTAATTTGTGCGAAACCATTTAATTTTAAAAAGTACGCGAAGCTTTAATATTGCCTAAAGACTTTTTTAAATGACCTTTTACCAAACATTACGAAAATTGTTAACCTTTCATTGAAACGTGGTATCTTTCCAGCGAAATGGAAGCAGGCGATCGTTAGACCTCTTTTAAAGAAAATAGGTTTGGAATTGGAGTTAGCGAACTACCGACCAGTGAGTAATCTGTCATTTCTTTCAAAACTTATCGAAAAATCCGCTCTCTATAGACTCAATTCGCATGTTAATGAAAACAATCTACTCCCCAAAAATCAGTCGGCATACAGACGTTTCCATTCTTGTGAATCTGCGCTTTTAAGACTCGTAAATGACCTGCTTGACTCTATGGAGAAACAAGACGTAACGGCTCTTATAGCAATCGATCTCAGCGCCGCATTCGATACTGTAGACCACGATATATTAATAAAAGTACTTCAAAAACAATATGGAATCTGTGGCTTGGCATTAAAATGGGTAGATTCATACTTGCAACCTCGTGGCTGCCAAGTATGTGTAAATTCCATTTCATCATCTGTGCGTCAGCTGCAATGCAGCGTTCCACAAGGTAGCTGCTTAGGACCCTGGTTGTATCTGGCGTACGCAGGAACTATATTTGATGTCATTCCTCCTTCCATATCAGTTTTCGGCTTTGCAGATGACCATACCGCAAATACACGCTTTAATCCAACGTCGAAACACAGCGAAATTGAGGCTATTCGCGAGCTTGAGGATTGCGCAAAGATTATTAACAACTGGATGAACGCTAATAAACTTAAAATGAATGCATCAAAAACAGAATTTATTCTATTTGGCAGTAAAAGACAACTAGAAAAATGTGCTACAAAAGTGATTAACATTAATGAAAATGAAATAAAGTCCGTAGAATGTATACGATATTTGGGTGCATTTTTAGATGAAAATCTTAATTTCAAAGAACATGTAAATAGGAAATGTCGAACAGCAATGTTAAATTATCTAAGGATCAAAAGCATCCACAAATATTTAACGAAGGAAGCTACGGAAATTTAAGTTCTATCATTAGTTATTTCACATTTAGACTATTGCAATGTTATTTTATTCGGCATAGCACAATACGAAATTAATAAAATGCAACGAATTCAAAACATGTGTGCCAAATTGGTTTTAAATCGGAGGAAATATGACAGTTCAAAAGAATCTCTATTTGATCTCCACTGGCTACCGATCAAAACTAGAATATCATTCAAGATTCTGACATTCATGTATAATTGTTCAGTGGGCCAAGCACCAGAATATTTAATTGAACTACTGTCAAAACAAACTTCGCATCAAAAATTGCGCTCTTCCCGAAATTCCGAAAGCTGTTACATAGTCCCATTTAATAAAAGAAAAACTTTCAGCGACAGGAGTTTTAGTACCATCGGACCAAAATTGTGGAATGAACTGCCTTTGTATATCAAACAATCAAAATCTATTGATGATTTCAAAAACAACTTAAAAAATTACTTCTTTAGGGACTTTGATGCTTTATTTTAATGATTACTCTCCATGTATATTTGTACATAATATTTTTTTTCTTCTTTTTTTTAATACAGTTTTACTGTACAACGCCATTGAATACGTTTGTGTAAAAATAGGCGTTTAATCAAATAAATCAGTTTCAGTTTCAAAGACAGCTCACAGAGGACATTGGGTATGTAAGTGTTTGTGTGGTTGGTTAAGTTAAAAAATTCGGCAAGACCCTTGTTTTTTTTTTTGTTGGATGTATTTCTTTAGAATAAACACAGATTCAACAGGATTTTTCAGATCAAATAAAATAAAATATAGTTACTACAAATGTACCGAAGATTTTTGTTGTCTATTATTCTTAAGAATTTTTATTTCTACTGTTTTCAGAAATAAGTAAGTCAAGAAAAAGTAAGTCAGATCACAAAAATGATTTTAAAATGTAATTTTTATTAAGACTCTATCGATGTCTTTAAATGTTGTGTATTGTCTAACACAGCTGATAAATGTTATTTTTTTTAGCAAGCAAGTTTATTCTCTGGTGTTACATAGAAAGCCTATTTGCAAACAGATGCAGATCGGGCGACATAATATGACTGAATTAAATTTTCTATAACGGAAAAATCAGCTGTATTTTTAGAGCTGTTTGTAAAATAGAAATAAAGCTCTTGTTGTTGTGAATGAGGCAGCAAAAGCTCCTCGGCCTCAGAATGTTGTTTTTGTAAATATAAAAGCCTCGGCTAACACCTCAACTTTTATATTTCAAAGCAAAAAACTCTCGATTGGAGATGAACCCTTGAACATCCACGTAATGCGTACGTTATTTCTTAAACTTATTTTGATCATGAACGACATGTACAAACAAGGGAACATTAACCGATTCACACAGTCTCTGCCACACAAGTGATTTAACTGATATAAACTTGCTTTTAGTTTCAGAAATTGGGATATTGGGACATTGGGGCAATTTGCACATGTATCTAAATAAATAAAAAAATACTTTTCAAAATGTGTTTAAAGAAAAGTAAAATATTAATAATATTCATATGAATTGAATAGTAATACAGTTTATTAGTACTAAACTATCAATTTTTAAACAGAGGCAGGTTACTGACAAATTAGTTGATGTTTCAGGGATTTCAAACCTCGATTAAAGTCAGCTTTTAGAAAATTCTATGTTTGTTATAATGACCTTGTTCGCAAATACATTGGGCTGTATTTTGACTGACAAATTTCATACTAATTGTTAGGCCTTTTTTCATGCTAAATTTGACCGACGATTATTCCGTGTACCTGATCAATACAGAGGATTTACTGCGGATGTGACCAGTCAACAGGGGATGCTCCTGATCCCTCCCCTGGAATTTCAGTGATCCTTGTTTTTTGCCCTATTCATACATTTGTATTGTTTATAGGTTTTTAGAGATCGATCACTGTTTATCTTTATCTATTTCATGATAACATATAATTGTCAGCTTTCAGATGGAAATTAAAAGAAACAGATCAAGAAACATTCCATATTATTACAAATCAAAACAACATATGAAATAAAAGCTTTATTTGTTAGATAATAAGCACAAACACATTTGAAACATGCGGAATATAAAAAACAATTTGAGATAGAGAAAGTTTTGTGCATTTTAGTTAAACATTGGTATGTTTCTTAGTACGACATTCCTCTTTATAAGATGTTTGCGAAAAGCTTTTATGTTTCAATGTTATGCCTAAAATAAGGAAAACAATCCATGTAAGAGACATAACAGTAGTTAAACTGGAGTCAAGTCTCCGTAAATATTTTCCATGTGATTTTTATTTTAGTAGAGGAGATCTAAACACTAAAAGATGAATATAAAAACTCTATTAGAAGAGCGCCTGTCTCTACTTATTAATGATTATATTTAATCAGGAAGAAGCATGTTCCAAAAGTTAACTTATACATATTTGAATCTTGCCCTAAAACCCCTTGCTACGACATTGGAGTTTGTCCTAAATAGGACCAACATTACTCGGCCGGTGGACGTGAATACCCTTGTGGGTCTTGTGCCACAGCAGAACCTGTAAATAAAGATTTATAGTTCTAAATATTGCAATATATTGAATTTTTATCATTTGAAAAAAAATGTCATTATTCATTTTTAATGTTTTTCATTAATGTTTACAAATTGGAATAGAAAATAAGATCTTTATGTATTATTAAGCAGTGTATTTCATATTTCTTCCTAAATAATGTTTGATTATTATTCATACTTTGATTCTCTAGAGTTTATTTCCTGACATTTTTCAAACATAAGAAATATGTGACAATAAAAAAGTCTATTTAAAGTACGGGACTTCGATACAAAGTAGTGAGAGAGAAACACAAGAGATGCTAAATTCAATTTATGTCTTACACCTCGAACGGCTTGTCAATATTTTACAAAAATTATGATAAAAAATGTAAAAAAAAAAAAATAATAATTAATGCTGTCTGTTCAAAAATTACATTGCACTTCACCGAAGTAAATACGCATTAAAATGTTTGTAAGAAACAAAACTAAATGGAAATATAAAAATGTTAATATTTGCTTTTTTTAAAATTCTCAATTTAAAGAAAACGAAGTACCCGGTGGGAGTGGTAATCTACATCAATATGGCGTACCGCCCGCGTGCAGTGGTTAGAGCGTCTGCTCTAGAGTTGCGGAGTAAGGAGCTGATCCTTACGTCGCGGGTTCGAATCCACTGCGGGAAGTGAAGACCGGTCCCCTCGGATTAGACCGAATAAACCGAGGTTCCGTGTCGCAGGAGGTGTTGGCACGAAAAAGATCCTCACTGTTCAATGGCCCTAAGTGCCGAGAATAGATATAAATTTGAAGCCCTCCACCGGCAAGTGGTGGCGTCTCCATATGAGTGAAAAATTCTCGAGAGGGACGTTAAACAACAACAAACAAACAAAAATAAACATTAATACGGCGTAATTTAAATTTGCTCACCTTGGTCCAGTGTTAGAGAGACTGCTGTAGCGAACCTCTACAAAGTCTAAACACCTTGTGTTGCAAGTAATACCAAAGGACCCAATGAATTGAAATCGTACACGTTTTCCTGTAGGTGCCTGAAGTATATTCATTTTAAATAAATCAGAAGTCTGCATTTCTTACTGATTATTTTTATTCCTTCGTATATGTGTTTCATTATTCAATTTATTACACTTTTTCTCATAATATTGAATGAGAAAGATCAACATGTATATAACTTTGAACTATTAAATTTCAAATTTCATTATAAAATATGATATTACTAAAAAGAGATAAATCTTAATATATTCAAGTATGTTTATGAAAATTAATGAGGAAGAAATCGGACCACGGTTTTGCTTCAGACAATATATATATATATATATATATATATATATATATATATATATATATATATATATATATATATATATATATATATATATATATATATATATATATATATATATATCTTTCTAAATAATTTCAAAAAAAGGATTTGATCTACACTGAAGGTAAAAATCGAAAAAAAACGAGTGTGTGTACAGGGTCATTTACCGTAATTTTCCAAGTACATTCGGCATTGTTTGTGTAGCTCCGAGGAAAGAAGTATCCAGGTGAGTTTAAGAATCTGTAGCATGAGGTGGCAGATCTATATTTGTATCCACACCCAGCAGTCTCTAAATTGAGATTAATGAAATATCGTATTATGTTCTCTATCAAAAATATTAAGTAATTTTTAAAGTGATTGGAATCTATATCGAAGTATATTGATTAACGTTCGGTCTTTGACTTAATAGGTACTTCAAAGGCAATGATCTAACAAATTAGTTGAATTCTCATCACTTTTATTTCGCCGAAAAATGAAGATATAATTTTCACTCGGTCAAAAGCCTTTTGCAATATATGGATCAATAAATTATCAACTTAATTGATTTGACACCAATCAACGTTGTAAATATCGTCCTTCTCTTTTGGTTTAGAAATTCCCATCCTCAAGGGAAAGATTATTTTTCAATAAAAAAAAAATTAATGTTGATTGTATGTTTTACATAAATGTAGAGTCGAAGCCTTACTAGGGTTCTTTGCATACTGACAATACTTTCCAATCCAACCATCCGGGCATTTGCAACGTCCACAACTTCTTGGATTCCTGTATCCACCATTTCTGCATGATGACCATGTTAATCCTCCAGAGCATCTACCTTCAATGTTGAATAAAGCGTTTGATACACAATCCCTGGGAGATAATATTTTGCATAAAAATGTACATGGATTCTTTTAAAGCTATATATGGCGTATCTGAGCTAAAAAATAAAAATACGAGATTGAGTATAGATAAACATGATATTTGTTATTTTCGTTCAAATCAAATTTTTCACCGATTTTGAGCTTGAATAACCTCACGTTTCTATAGTTAAATTGACTTTAAACTGTGTCCGATATTTAAATGCGGAGTCGGTAAATAAATTGGTAATTGTTTTAAATTTCTAATATCTATGAAACGCGATTGATTTAAATTGTTTAAATTATTAAATATTTACAGGAAAGTCCTATCTTTATATAAAGTTATAAAACAAATAGAAAGATCTTTTTCATTTTAGTTAGTCTGAAGTTATCAAAAATACGCCATATATGACTTTAACATCATTTCTGTCATACAATTGCGAAGTGGCATGCTCACAAAAAAACATACCCACAATGATGGCAAAGGAACATTTAGAATAAACTGCAAATATACTCAATTGGCTTGAATGTATCAGCATGATTTTCTGACATTAATTCGGTAATTAAGAACTTATTTTTATCTTTAGCAAAAAAAAGTGTACAATCTTGTGTATAAATAACAAAGACTTAAAATAGACGATCTTTCTAAGTTTCACATACTCTGACAATAGTGGTAGTTAATAGCTCTGATATCATTGAAGGATAAACCAATTCTTTGTCCCATTGTCCTTGAGTAATCGCTTTGCTTGGCGACAATTGTTTTCAGTCCTGCTGACTTCGCAAAAGCCTGTCAAGTTTTAAGTAAGCATTATCTAAAAATCTTCTTATAGAGCAAATTAATTCTATTATTATTATTATTATTATTGTTATTCTTTGTTTCCCTCAATTAAAGTAAGATTTCCTCACCGTGTCAGAATAGTGCATGACTGATCCGTAGTCGTAATTTGTTCCGTAGGTCACTCCAGATTTGATCAAGAAGTTATGTTCTTTTCCACTTACAATGTTATCTGTTATTATGGAGACGAAGGTGTTTCTGTCCTGTCTGCTTTGCTCATGCCACATACCGAGGGCATGTCCGATTTCATGAAGGATTATTCCTAACTAAAGTGAATGATTTTTGTACTTGAATTTGAAAGTTAAGCATGTAATCCTATTCCTTTTCTATATACGAGAGATAAAACATAGAACGATTTTTGGTATAAGTCTTGAAGAGAGTCATGAGTGAAAATATTTTGTTGTTTTTCCAAGTGTATAAAAAGGAGATATAAAGCGAAATTTGACACTTACGTGTTTACAACCATTTTGGAGGTTTATGTCGTTGATAATACTTCTTTTGCCAACATAAGACCAACAACTATTAAAAAACATGGAAATTTATCTTTGATTTTCCCCGCTTTCATTAATTCCGTTTTCTAATGAAGAATTACAACTGATTAAGTTTTAATTGAGGAAAAAACACATCAACAATGTTTTTTGAGATACATGATTAAAACCAAAACCCTGCCAATTGTTAAATGTTTATATTTACCTTCGTTGACAACAAATATTTGTTCCCTTTAATGGGAAAAAATTAGCCTTTCAGCTTGTTTTTTTAATGATTTTTTTTAATGTCTTACTAAGACTTCATACGTATTAAATCATTATTTATACCCAGATTCGTTTTCCTTAAAATTGATTGCTGGTGCAGTTATTGATGATCTTTCAACGAATGAAACACAGGTTTGCTGTTGCCATATACTCAATGCCTGTTTTATCAGTGTTTCTGTAATGAGAATATATCATTATATCTTTCATTTAGTTACATTTTGAAAACGATACGTTATTGTATTATTAAACGAGTTTGCACAATAATAAACGTGGAAAATATTCAAGATTATTTTATTTTGAAAATTAAACGAAATATTGAATATTGCCCATGACAAAGATTAACCAGTCTTTCATCCATCAAAACAAAATATACTTAAATATTTTGTTAAAGCGCCCTACATTAGTATTAAAACATTTGCAAGGCAATTCAAAAACTTAGAAATCATCATTTCCTACTGTGTGTTGAAGAAGCAATTTGTAATCGGTAATTGATCGGGAAAGTCCACTTTGGGCCATTATATACTTTTCGTTTATCAAATGGATCAGGTACCTGTACAAAAAAGTTATAATAGGATTAAAATGGGATTGTATCAATTATTCGTTATAACAATTCAATATTAATAACAATTCAATATAACGAACTTAATCTGTGATAACAAATTTGTTAAATTCGTTATAACCAATTCAAAAAATTGTTATAATGAATTAAATTCGTTTAACAAATTTTTGTTGTTATAACAAATTAAGTCCGTTTCAATAAATTCTAAAATTTGTTATGCCGAATTAAATTCGTTTAATCAAATTCAACAATCAGGTCCTATAGAAAAATATATATGAATTCGATATAACGATTTGTCCATTTCTTTTGAACGAATTTAATTCGTTGTAACAAATAAAAGGGTTCTTTTTAACGAATCTAATTCTTATAAAAAGTTTTGGAATTCGTTATAACGAATTTAATTCGTTATAACAAATTGGAATTCGTTTTAACGAATTTAACAAATCAGTTATAACAGATTAAATTCATTATAATGAATTCAAAGAAATTGTTAAAACGAATTAAATTCATTATAATAAATTCGATAATTCGTTATATCGAATTTAAAAATATTTTTTAAAGGTCCTAAATGAGCTTCCGTAAATTCTGTATTTCTTAGGAAATATTTTTTATTCCCCGAAACATTTTCACTAAGACAGTTTACATGTGAACTATGTAATTAAAGCCATAAAGGTTACAGGGGCTTTTTAACGAAAATGTGGTGTTGAAAAAGTTTTTACTCATACATTCTATTTCCTTTTAACAAACGATAAACTCCTGTCCGTTGCTAGATTTATTCACCTTTAAAAAAAAAAATAGGCAATGTAAATAGAACATGACTGTATTAAAAGAAAACACGGCATTTAATATAATGAACTGAATACAAATGAAAAAAAAAAAAATAAAATAAAAAAAATGTATCTGTTGTCTATAAATATACGGAGTGCCTTCAAAAATCCCTCTCTTCAGTAAAAGTAAACATACACAACTGACATTTCTCTTCCAAATTTAATCGAACACATTTGCCTTTGATTTTCTTTGAATAAGTAATTTTGTGAATTTATGTCCTATATTTGTCGCACATGCGGAAAGCTTACCCCTGTCAATTTTATAGCATTGAATCGCAAAACTGATTTGATACGATTTTTCTTTATGTACAAAGCACAAAATTTCATTCTATGTGCTAATTACTGACTATTAATTCATTTATAAAAATGCCGTCAGTCTTATATGAACTTTTTTGAAATTTTATCAGATATCTATAAATTATCAAATGGTAATGTTGATTTCAGTAAATTAAAAAACTTTTAATGTAAACGCGCAATTTGTTTTTAAAAAGTGATATTTATGAAGGAATTAAAAAAAAGATTAACTTCATGTAGCTAACATAATCTTTTTTGTACGCAACTGTTTGCAGATTTAATTGCCAATCGAGTATCCTGTCAGGTTTTGCATTTCTCGTGTTCTGCGTTTCTCGGGCTTTTCGTTAATCGTAAAAATCGTTTATCCTATCGCCGGCAGGGTTCGACACTAACATTTTAGGCTTCTTTACTTTTACTAGTCCGCGAGCGATTTTATGAGTCCGCCAAAAAAAAAAAAAAAAAAAAAAAAAAAAAAAAAAAAAAAATCAAATGTAACGATTAAAATAAATATTACAATATATATATATATATATATATATATATATATATATATATATATATATATATATATATATATATATATATATATATATATATATATATATATATATATATATATACAGTCCCTGAAACGTTCTACTTTCCCACTTGAACGGTGAGCGAACGCTGAACGAACGCTGAACGAACGCAGAGCGAACGGTGAGTGAACGATGTGTGAACGCTGAACGCAACTTGGTGAACGATGTGTGAACGGTGAACGGTGAGCGAACGCAGAACGCGAACGGAGCGCAAACGCGAACGCAAAGTGAACGGTGAACGAACGGTGAACGCAAGATGAACGATATATTCGGAATGCCTCTGATCTTTTCCTTGCATTGAAACTATTTTATTGTATTATAATGTTGGGTGCAAAATAATAATAATAATAATAATAATAAATAAATAAATAATAAATAGGTAAACCAATAAATGAATGAATAAATAAGTCAATAAAATAAATTCTCCAAAATTGTCCTAAGAAAGACGATGCATGTACATTAAGTTTTTAATCACACGATTTTTATCGCATTAAAACATTGTAATTGTTGCCGAACGCTGAAGTATAAAAGATGTTTTTTTAGTTGGAAAATAAAAATGTTTATTCTTATTTGATAACAAATCAGAGAAAACTTCTGACTTACAGAATGAATTAAAGCGGTTGTAACATCCATTCATATATCTCTGTGTCAATGCGATTTCGTGTAAAGTAATGAAAAAAAATAATTATTACAAAGGTCAGTGGACGTTTTGCATTTATACGCTCGTATTTTAAATGTTTAATACAATAATATATTGTGTCACTTCTCTATTTTTCATGATGATTTATTGAGCAGACTTCTACATGTATCTGTAGATGGCCGTGATTATACTCGGACAAGATAATACAAAGATGCATATTCATATTATTTGTTATAAATTCAATTTTCAGAACTTGATATTTAAGTAATATGCTGTTATAGTGTTTATTAAACAGACAAATGAGAGAGAGAGAGAGAGAGATACCGTTTTAGCCCCCCCCCCTCCTTTCAGGCTTTACTAAATGTTTGTACTTATATCAAACAAAAACTCTGAATTTTTTTTCTAAATATATCAGACAGTGAAAGTAACTTTTTTTTAATCAACAAATCATATCCATTTGTTTGACAGTCATACTAGTTTTTATTTTCCTGCTTCAAGTTCACACGAAGTCCACGTGCTTGTGCTGTCAATCAAAATCATTCGACACTGTGCAGGTGTGAAAGTTTCGTCACATCGAAGGCGAAGTGCGAGTATTTCCAACAAGTTATAACATTTATTTTCATCATTTCTAGATTTGATTCCAACATTTAGATAATAAATGAATAAAATACATTGGGCATTAACACTTGAATTTGAAACATACTCTCTGCCAATTTCAAATACCACCGCCGACATGTGTACATTTTGAACTACTATTGTTTTGTGACTTTTTTTAGATGCATGTTTGTTTTGAGACTGAAATTTTTGTTCTAAAAAAGACCTTAACTTTTTTTTAAAATGTTAATTAAAAATTTTCTGGAAATACAGTACTGTCTAAGTAACCGATTTGAGGGAAAGGGGGGGGGGGGTATTAATCATATCGAATGGCAAACATAAAAAGTTACGGTGAAGAAAGAATTTTTTTCTCTATAACTATAAACTTAACATATTATAGTAGAGAAAATTCTGTAGTGCATTACATTTTAAATAAATATTTCCTTTAACCACACTATCAATTTCATTCGCTCCAAAGATAATAAATTAACAGGATATCCGCAGTACTATGTATAACTCTCAGAACTAGTTCTATCATATTTTCTATAGTAATTGAAAAAAAAGGTGTTAGAAATAAATATTTTCGTAATTTTGCTGCCTAATTATTTTACTTGGATAATTATATCACAAACATTTAATTTAACAAAACAACAAATTGTTGCAGAGCTTGAAGTATTTGCACATTGCCCTTAGTTAAATTTAATATTTCAGCATCGGTCTACATAGGTACAGAATGTGCTTATAACAACATTTATTTTCCAGAGTAATTTAATAAATAACCGAACAGCTAAGTTAGAATAATAAATATATATATCGTAGATATTTTCCCCCATTAAATAATGATTCTTCAAACACGATATGTTAGTTATTAAATTAAAAAAAAAAACCTGTAACTCCTTACCTACAAAAAGATAAGTCCTTTCACTTCGGAGTTCCGAATGACAATCAAAACTGAACGAAAGGTGAACGCTGAACGCAAGGTGAACGCAAAGTGAACGGAACGAAGAGCGAACGCTGAACGCTTTGTGAACGGTGAACGCGAGCGCACGGTGAACGGTGAACGCAAAACTGTGAACGGAGAGCGAACGGTGAACGCACGGTGAACGAACGGTGAACGCACGCTGAACGAACTGTGAACGAACGGTGAGCGAACGGAAAAATGGGAAAGTAGAACGTTTCAGGGACTGTATATATACTTTCAAACTTTCTTGAAATTAACAAAGCATTTACGTAAAGTAGTTTTATTCCACAGATTTGTTGAAATCTCGCAATTAGGAAGTATGATCGTATTCCCGATCTCCTTCATTTTTCTCTATATTTGACAACCAAAACACCCAACATCTTTCATGTTTCATACTTAGTCATTATCGCTAAAACGTTTAACTTCATATTACGTCATAAAATCAAGTGCTGAATTGACTCGAAACTACCTACTACCTGCCAAGACAACCAGACTACCTGCCAAGACAACCAGACAGCTAAAAATACCTGCGGGGTTTTCCAGTATAAGTTGTCAAGAATTGAACATCGGTAATTTATACATTTTGTTTTCCTTTTTTTTTTTATTGATCCGTTCGGACTTATTGTACAAAGATTTTATTAGTCCGAATGAATATGCATTAGTCTGAGAGTAACGGACTAACATTAGTGTCGAACCCTGTTATTATCGTAGTCCACATGTATTCTATCCAATCGCATATCATGGCAAATAAAAAAGGTGCAGGTTTTGTAATTTTTTTTTTAATATCAGAAACCCGAATTAATATATGATTTAACTTACAGGTTTAATAATCGTTTTTCTATGCAGCTGTTTGCAGTTTTAATTGCCAACCGTGTCTTTTTTGAGGTTTATCGTGTTTTGCGTGTATCAGTATTTACATCTATGGCGAAAACCCGTATATCTTATCGTATTGCGCGTGTATTCTATCCTATCGTGTATCATTTGAAGAATCGAGGTGCAGGTAGTGTACGTTTTTATAATAAAATAGCGAATGTATATATGCTTTAACTTACGGATGACTCCGATCCGTTGTTGTTAAGTCTTAGATATTGGGGATTTCTTTTGTAAAACTCTACAAGTTCAGCTGCAGATTCTTTGTCTAATTTTACATCACCATCGATCATATCCATATCTTCCATGCTTCGCTTGGAGGTCTTTTCAAAAGAAAAAAAAATCTGAATATATTTTTTATAAATTGAAACACATCATTGTATTTTTAAATACTAAAAATTAAACTTTATATGCATTTAAAAGTTAGAAAATCATAATGTTTCGTTACTCTAATCACATATTAAATTTCCTAAATGAACCTACCTTTAAACCTGGATTTGCTGTGCCTATCATATCATGCAGTTGTAACATTGATGATGCCAAGGAGCTTTCGAAAACTCGCTGTGCTTTTTCCCCACCTTCAAGGAAATCTCTTTCTGTGGGTTTGGTTTCATCTGGTTCTTCCTCAGAGCTATTTTCATTTTCTACAGAACTGTCTTGCTTACTTTCACTACCATCTTCATTGTCATTTTCCACGTCTGCCTTTAAATCTATTTCATTTTCTTCAAAATTTCTATTACCGAGATTTGCTTCGTCGATGTAATTTTCGTCAAACAGCTCCCGAAGACTTTCCGATGCGATTTTCCCTTTTCCATCTTTCTCCACTGGACTTGCAGCCAGAACTGTCAAAAGGAATATAATAATAGCTACTCTCAGCATGGTGATAGAGTGTTAATGACATCTGAAATATTAACTCTTATATACCCTTAAATCCGGATATATTTTTGAGTTTAGAAATATTGCCCCATAGTTACTGTGTGTAAACAACATTGAATACCCAATCATAGACGGCCTCACTTTTTACATAACTAGGGAATTTTTAAGTCATCTTTACACGTAAGCATTTTTTTAAACTGGCCGTTAAGTCTTCCTCGGAGCATGACGTATTTTCCTAATTATCAATATTTTGATGTAGTAAAGGACTATATATGAGACCACATATAAGACCAAAAAAGAATGTTTAAGATCTGTATTGAAATTCAATCACTACAATATGATATTTTTATAACAATCCTTTACAACCCATGAAACGTTCAGCTAGAATTAATAAGCATATGTTTTTATCAGGGGATTCCATGAACGGGTGGAGTAATTGACTTACCATTTAGTCTATTCTCCTTAGTTTGTGGTTTTGACTTTTCACGAAAAAGAAATGGAAGGTGGCCTCGTGAGCGCCGACATAGAGAACTGCAATCAAGGGTACTCCCCTAGAAATATATATGCAAATAATAACTCTACATGTATTTTACATGAATATGTAAACATTAAATATACTCAAAAAGTGGAATCATTTTTTTAAAAGAAATCATTCCTTCTCAATAAACAAAATCATTTTTCCAGGAATATCATATTATAAAATACATTCTGGAACAAAAGTTTCTTTTAATTAGATTTGTTGTGATTTAAATATCATTTCCATGTATAATGAAAAATATTGATAAACGCATTCAATATATAATCTTAAAAAAAAGAAAGGCATAATAGGAACAATAAGATAGTTTTGTGAAACATTTTTTTTTTTAGATTGATATGATTCATTCGAGTAAAATGCGTATTTTTTAAAGCAATTTTTTTTAATTGTACAGCTATTCTACAAATTTCACCGACAAAAAGACCTGATTTTGCAAAATGCTAAAACATTTTTCCCACGATTTTCATTTATTGGTTTCTGATGCAATTCCTTCAGGTACAAAAGTGTTATCAAAAACTGGGGTTCTTGATATTTTGATTCTGGCTTTATCTGAAAATTGACTCAATGTTCTCCAAAAATATTGCAAACTAAGCGTGACATCAGTAGCAAAGGATCGCTTCAGTGGTCAGCGTAATTTTCATGAATGTCTCACGATGACGTCATCTACAGCATTTTCTATCCCTTAACTGCACAGAATATCTAACATGATCGTTTGCAGTTAACTACGGAATGCTGGTATTATTGCGAGAAGATTATTCATATGATTGTTCTGACCCTACAACACTGCAAATATCGACTTCAAAGATCTCAGACCAAAAGAGTATGAACACAGCAACACCGTGAAACATTTTGGTTAGGCTACTGGTCCAGAATGTTTATCACAAAGCCTGATGTAAGTTTACGAGTGCATAAGCTTCGTAATGAACGTTTTGCAGAAAAATGCCTCCGGGACGTTGATAGATTTGGTGGTGGTAGTGCAATGATATTAAAAACGGTATTACATTCAAATAAGACTGATTTGGTTCATATTTCAAGCAATCTGATGGGAAAAGGTACTCTTAAGAAAGTTCTACCTGCACTTGCCTTTCCAATATTGCAGCATCCTAGGGCAGTATTTCAATCTGTCAATACACACGCTAAATACGGCTTGTGACAATCACATTCTCGCAAAGCAACAGCAACTTGTTTCTGCCATGTTCATCTAAATTGCCAGATTAAAACCCAGTTGAGCATGCAATGGACTAAATGGATTGGCATGATTTGCCAAAGACAATCACATCTCCAGACTCTGCAACAGCTGACCAAAGCTCTAAATTTAGAGTGAGAGAGCATTCCTATACAGTTTTTAATACACACATTTACTTCCATTAGATGCCGTTTTAGGCTATCATTTGTGTCTGTGTGGGGGTGGGGTGGGGGGGATAACAGATTTTGATCTTAAATGACCTTAAACTCGAAATGAAGGTAAGAAAGGTTGCTCATTTATTAGGAACAGATTTTTTAAATACTCAAAAATAATATGCCTTTTGAAAATAAGTGTTTGAAGTATGGGCAGGTATAAAAACATCAAACCTATATTAAATATCATATGTTTTAATTTTGACGTATAACATATATCTCGAAGATAGTTAACAATATAATGACAATATCAAAAACACACAAAAATAGATAAAATGCAGTTCATTAGAATATCACAGAAATATAATAGCTATATACTGATTTTTTTTCCTTAAATATGGAATACAATAAAAAATAATCATAGGACTGTGGGAATGCATACTTTTAAATTGTGATAAAAATAAACTTTACTTGAAGATGTACATCCTGTATCCGCTAGCGCTACTAGGGTTACAGACAAGTGTTATGATAAGAATCGAACCTTAAACAAAGTGATTATAAAGGACAGCTATAGGTTAACGTTCAGGCTTGGTACTTGTCATTAACCTAAAATGAAATAGACCGAAAAAAAAAAAGATTCTAAATCATATCCGTGATCTAAAACTTAATAAATCAATTATGTTTAAATAATTTATTTTTATAACACTTTATACTTCTTTTAATGTTCCATGACACCAACAATGATTGTTTTTTTCTTTTTTTTTTCTTTTTAATATTTAAATTTATTGACAAACTTTGATGAATAGGATTGAAAGTTCGGTTTCACTGTTGCTGCATTTATGTTCACTTTGATTTAACTACCAATGATTTTGAAGAAAACCAAATGAAACATTAAATGAAAAAACATGTATTAAAAGCACAAAGAAGAAAAATTTCTCATTTGAATATGAAGCATTATGCAAGATCACTGTTTCTCCCTTGTTTTCATAAATGTATAGGCAGATTTTATTGTGTTATTTTATTTGGAAAACAGCATTTATAACATTTATTTTTCTTTGATTCACGAAAGAGAGCTTTTTGTTTACCTTTTAACTTTTGTTTTAAGAACAGTCAAAATACACAACAATTATTTGGACTAATTAAATTATCAATGTACTGGATTATAAGTTTGGATACAAAAGTCACAACATTTACTCAAAAAATATGAATGTTATGTGAAAATTTCAACATCTAAAATTCACTAAATTACTATATATATCAATGTTCTCGTTCATTTCAAATTTAACTGTGGCGCAAGATTTACTCGAAGTGCTAATATTCGAGGTTTTCGTGACTGAATTCGCGAAGTAACCACGGCTTTTCTTAATCAATAGTTAAGTTTAATAAGCAAATGGTATTAAACATTTGGGAAATTGAATAAAATATTTCATGATCATTAAAAATAATTAACGGATGTCAAGTTTTATTACATTTTCAACAGTGAAATACTGTAATTTATTTACTGAATAAAAGTGATATTCTGACACAGTGTGAAAGGATATCAAAATAGCATTCTCACAGTGTGAGAATATCAGAAGTGCGGCAAACTTACGATTTTCCTTCCCTTCACGAAGAGTATTTAAAAAAAAAAAAAATCCCTATCCTTTTGTAAGATAGAGTTAATGAGCCATCCTGACAGAGACTAATAGTTATACTGCCAAAGTTTTTTCCAAATATGTCATTAAAAATTCATGTCTACAACGTTTTTCAATCTCGCAATCGCTTAGCTATGACGTCACAACTGCTCAACTATGACGTCACAGCCTATGTCACTGTGTTACGAAAAGAAGAGGCAAAGGAAAAATGTAAGAAAATGTAATAAACAGAAAATTCAATGTTTTGTAAACATTGAATATCCTCTATTTACATTGTGTGAAGCAAAAATTAGAATGTTTCCAATATATTAGTGTACAGTCCCTGAAACGTTCTACTTTCCCATTTTCCGTTCGCTCACCGTTCGTTCACCGTGCGTTCAGCGTTCGCTCTCCGTTCACAGTTTTGCGTTCAGCGGTCACCGTGCACTCGCGTTCACCGTTCACAAAGCGTTCAGCGTTCCCTCTCCGTTCGTTCACTTTGCGTTAACCTTGCGTTCAGCGTTCACTTATCGTTTAGTCTTAAGTGTCATTCGGAACTCCAAAGTGAAAGGACTTATATTATCTTTTTGTTAGTAAGGATTTACAACTTTTTTGATTTAATAGTTAACATATCGTGTTTAAAGAATCATTATCTCAAGGGAAAAAAATTATTCACAATATTCTAACTTATTATTATTATCTAACTTAGCTGTAAGGTAACTTACTCTGGAAAATAAATGTTGTTATAAGTATGTACCTATTTAGAACGATGCTGAAAAATTATATTTAAATACGGGCAATATAAAGATACTTCAAGCACTGCAACATTTTGTTGTTATGTTAAAGACGACAAATCGTTAATGCATAGATAATTATTCAAGTCAATTAATTTACAAACTGTAGCAAAATTACGAAAATATTTATTTCTAACAGTTTTTTTTTTTCAATTACTACAGAAATACATGATAGAACTAGTTCTGAGAATTGTACATAGTACTGCGGATATCCTGTTAGTTAAATATCTTTGGAGCGAATTGATCTGATAGTGTGGTTTAAAAAAAAAATTATTTAAAATGTAATACACTACAGGATTTTCTCTACTATAATATATAAAGTCTATAGTTAGAGAGAAAAATTCTTCCTTCACCGTAACTTTATATGTTTGACATTCGATATGATTAAGACCCCCCCCCCCTTAAATCATCGGTTACTTAGTCAGTATTTCCAGTATATTTTAATTAACATTTAAAAAGAAGTTAATGTGTTTTGTAGCACAAAAATTGTAGTCTCAAAACATCATGCATCTAAAAAAAAATCATTAAATAAAATAATAGCAGTTCAAAATATACACGTGTTTGCGGCGGTATTTTAAATTGGCAGAGAGTATGTTTCAATTTCAAGTGTTAATGCCTAATGTATTTTATTTATTATCACTTTTATTTTTAGAAATGTTGGAATCAAATATAGGAATGATAAAAAAAATTTAAAACTTGTTGGAGATACTAGCGCTTCGTCTT